CTCCTCTGCTACTTCATATGTTCCTATCAGTCTTATGTTATTCTTCTTTGCATCATCTAGGTGTTTTTGGATCAATTTATCATGATCTCTTACTGTTTTTAAGAGACCTCTCTTTTCATGGTCACTGACTGCAATCTTATCTTCTATATCTGAGAGTCTATCTTCACATTCTTTTATTCTGTTGCATACACTTTCAATAGAGTATTTAATCTCCTGGATATCTGAATCTGTTTTATGGATTCCATTTCTTTCCTATGTTGGGCGTTTATTTTTTCCATTTCTTTCTTATGCTGGGCCTTCATTTTTTTGTCAGTTTCTGCTCTAGAGTCTCGAATCACGACTTCCATTTTGCTCACTATCTCTATGGTTATCTGGGAAATTAGTTCTGTTTTGAATTTTTCTAGAGCCTGATTGATCTGTTTTGTTACTTCCTGTGCTTTGAGTTCAGGATGTCCTGGTGGTTCACTATCGGCCTTTTCATCCTCATTTGCCCTACTGTTTGCCATTGGTAAACTGGAAGTCTGTCCTTGTATTTTGCTTACGTGTTTTCTCATTTTTATTTTTGTTGTCGGACTGTCCTTGGTTTAATGTCTGGATTATCACCCAAATCTTCCTGATACAGTTGCGCCCTACTTTCTGTGTCTCTAATGACCCACAGACATTCTCATCTTCATAACATCAGAGAAAGCAGCTCATCAAATCAACCACAATACTTTACCCCAACTGAGCAATCAGCAACACATTAAGAGCAAGCACAACTTTGATACTGATCACCGGTGGTAGTCACTAGTCTATCACCCTTAAATCATTTGAATTAAATTGAAATCAAGAAGCAGTCCAGAACATGTCTGCAGTGAACAAAATTTCAATATAGTGTACTTACCATTTAATGGCTCAGACAGAGCGAGGATGCAAGACCCCTGATCTCAGTTAGCTGATGGCTGAACCCCATGAAGCTGACTGACCTTGGGCTGCAAGGCCAGATTGAGTTCCCCAACCTTCTGAACTGTTGAACTCCACAACGTTCTATTACAGGTTTCCCACGCCCTTTCTTTAAAGATGTTCAAAGTTGGGAACTCAGAAAAATACTCTTGATGACCACCTCTGCCTCTGTAGAGTGGGTCCAAAGACTGGCACAGTCAGGAGGTCTGAGAGTGAGTGTGGGGGGGTTATAGGGGTTCAGGGGCTACCTGCATGGCTACCTTCCCTGCGCTTGAGTGATGGTGGCTGGGTCAGGAGCAGGTGTGGCTCTCCTTCCCGCGGTGGATCGGGGCCCAGGCTGCCTCCCAGTGCTTGAGCAATGGTGGCTGGGTCGGGAGCAGGCATGGTTCTCGCTAATGCTTCATTTTGCTTCCTTTTGGATACAACCTTCTAGAACCATTGTTCCTATCTAAGTTCTCAAAGTTCTAGATTCCTGGTCTCACTTCATCCTAGAGAAATCTAGTTGCTGGGCTTATTGCTTCACTGAAATGGCCTAGCTTTGTCATTAAAGCCTTTCTTGGAGAAAAGTTTAAGTATTCTTTACATTTTATCACTTATTTGGCCTCTAGCTGTCTTTTTGTTGTTGTCGTCTCTCCTTAAACCTCTTGTTTGCCCTGACTTTTGGGTGTCCTTTCTTAGCAACTTTTGGAGTTTCTTCTACCAGCCATCTCATGATATTTATTTGACATCCCCCCACTCTCTCTCCATACATATGCTTATTATCATTTAGACACATAGCCATCCCAGGCAAAGTCAATGGATCAAAGGACACACCTCAAATGACCAATTTATACAGCTGGGTTTTAATTTGCAGGTAACCTAGAAGTCTGGTGAGAAAGTTTAATGGTGTTTATATATTTGATATTCACACACATTCATACATTTGTCAGATAGAGAACAAAGACTTGGTAGAGGCCTAGTTTCAAGGTGGGACACAGAAATTTGCTGGCATAAGTGGCATAAAAAAATAAATTTGACTCTTTGGAAGAAAGTGTTGTTCCTGGGTCCAGCATCGTACTTCAGGTATAATATTTCCAGACTTTCTACATTAGTAGCATTTGAAGAGGAAGAGCGAGTGTAGAATTCCAGGTTTAAAGTACAGGTTCTAACTCCTAGGGAAAGAAACACGACAATGGATGGAGTTAAAAGGACTTGCTCTTTTTCCCCATCGCTTCACCATAGCTGTGCAATCTCAGGCAGATTCTGTTTTTGTGTATTCAAACAAAACTGCATCTCCAAGATCTAAGCTCATGTATTGAACTACATATTTACTATGTTCTCTTGAATTTCTCAGCCATTTCAGACACAAAATGCTCCCAAATGAACTCCAAATCTACTCACCTAGCTTTGTCCTTGTCTCTCTTTCCCCAATAATTAGCCCCTATAATTCGTCCTATTGTTCATATCAGAAACACGGGAGTTATTTTTGTTTCTGCAATTCTTCTCAAGCCATCACATCAAAATTATTAAAATAGCTGGGGATTTAGCTCAGTGGTTCAGTGGCCTGCCTTGCAAGCGCAAGGACCCGAGTTCAATCCCCAGTACCAAAAAAAAAAAAAAAAAAAAAGTGTACTTTAGTCCCAGTTCCTACATTCATCTCTATTAAATGATGAAATTGAGGGCAGGGATTTAGCTCAGTGGTTCTACCTCCTGCCTCCCAAGAGCAAGATCCTGAGTTTGATCCATGGTACTGCAAAAAACATGTTAAAAATTTTTTTAAATGATGAAATTGAAATTTGTTTTTTCAAAATTAATTTCATTAGTACATTTAAGGTGTACAATATAATGACAGTCATTGTTGGAAATTTGCACCTTTATGTAATCCATCTTGGTTCCTATTTTTCTCCATCCCCCTTCCCTCCTTTCAACTCCTCCATCCCTCCCTATCTACAAAGACTTTGCTTCCATTTTTTCATTTCACATATTAATTCCATTCCTTCTTTTCTTTCCCCCACCCCTCCCTTTTCCCCTTCCCCTTTGCTACTTTTCTTCCTATTTCACATTATCTATTATACCTTTTCATCCTTATGTAATACTTTTAATTTCTCACACTAGAGAAATGATTCAGTATTTACATGTGTGTGTTCTATTTATTTCACTTAAGAGTGCCACCTCAATGTGCACCCATTTAGCTATAAATGTCTCATTTTTAATGCCTGAGTAGTACTCCATTTTATAAATTTAGTACCTTGGACTAAAACGCTAAAGGTTTCTAAAGAGATTTTTCATGTTGAGAAGTGAGTTTGTTTTCATTTTAATTGCTGTTAGTAGTCTATCAAATGGAGCCTTTGAAATTTGTTATTTTATAAGATCCTTCTTTTTCTTACAAGTGTGATATCAGTTTCTCTCTTTTGCTTTCAAATTTCATTTTCTCCACTGTGCATCAGTACACATAGAGATGTTGGGGAATATAAATAAAAATAAATTAAAGCCTATAATTAAAACCTATAATTAAAACCTATAATTTTGGTACAGCAAGCTATGGAGGTGTGAAGTGGCTCCCAGACCCTGACTGCTGGGGATTTTTCTCTTCCTTCCTGAAGAGTTTTAATAAATGGCCAACATTTCTTTTAAATCTTTGAGTCTGATCATTCTTGCAAAAACAATTTGGTATAGTTTAGGGGAGTCCAGGAAGAACAGAGTCATGCCCGCATGGAGGTGCGGTGCTGTATCCTCTTTTGTGCCTCCTTTCTGTTGCCCAAAGGTGGCCTACCTTAGCTCCACGCCTGACCTCAGAAACCCTTTGTTTTCAGGCAGAGACCACAGACTGAGCCTGACTGTATTTTTTGCCTGTCTGTCCTTACAGACCAGAGAAAAACTAGATTCCTTCTGTTTAGATCATACCCAGCTCTACGGTCAAATGGTCAAGGAGAAAGTCCATTTCTGTTCTGCTTACTTTAAACTACTGTAGTGTCACTTAATATATTTTGTAATTTGTGGCCAGAGATAATACTTAGACTACCAAGTTTTTTCCTGCTTTATCCTGAGAGCAAGATATCCCAAAGATTTTTCTAATAGAAAAGCCTGGAAATCTCCTGTTTGGGCCAGAAAGCAGTCACAATATTTGTGGAAAGAAGAGGCTTACAAAGGAAATAAAAATCCTAAACTCTATCCTTCACCAACACACCCATGACAGGGTGAAAAACTTAACTTGTGAACCTCAAAGGAAAACAAAACAAAATAAAATAAAAACCAGAAGAATTTTTGCCTTTTCAGATATATATAAAAGCTCATTGGGGGACAAGAAAAAAATAGTTTGTGGGAGTGCAGACTGGTGCAACCACTATGGAAATCAATATGGAGACACCTCAAATAGCTGGGATTTTTGATCCAGCCATAACTCTGCTGGGTATCTTTCCAAAAGAATTAAAAGAATCATATCACAGAGATATATGCACACCTATGTTTATAGCAGCATAGTTTGTAATAGCTAAAACTTGGAAACAGCCCATTTGCCCATCAGTTGGAAACTGGATAAAGAAGATGTGGTTTTTCTATAAAATGGAATACTACTCAGCCATAAAGAATGAGAAATTAGAGTCATTCATAGGAAAATGGATACATATTGAGGATATACTCCTAAGTGAAATAAATAAGTCACACATGTGTAATAAGGGAAATTAAAAAATAGGAGAAAATGAAAAAATGGAAATAAAATGTTTGTAAATAGGGAGGGGAGGAGGGGGTGAAGGGAGGGCAGGGACAAGGGGAAAAAATGAGAACCAAGACCTGTCATGTAAAGGCACAAGATCCCAGTAATGAATGTAATTGTACTGTATATCTAAAATGTACCAATAAACTCAATGAGGAAAAAAAAATAAAAGAGCATCTTAAGATTTCAAAAAAATAGTTTGTTTTAGAAACACTTTAAGTAGAGGAAGTGATTGTTTATTTGTCTTCTTTCCATATTTCCTTTCATTCTTTTGTGCTACTGCCTCTTACAAGAAATTTTACTGGATTACAGAAGTTCTCGCTGACCTTATTCTTCTCTTCATCTTGTATTTTAAGTAATAGAGTAAACCTGTATCTAGCGAGAGACATCGAACAGTCTTAACATTCAGTACTTGCAAATGAGCAATTATGTGTTCACATGTAAGGCAACTTACTTTCATTCTTTTTTTGTGATGGGGAGGCGGGCAGGGATGGAACTCAGGACCTTGTGCTGGCAAGGCAGGAGGTGGCACCACTGAGCTAAATCTCTGGCCCGGTAATTTATTTTTGAATAAGAGGATTTATTCCTTTCAAAGGCAAAAAGTAAAACACAGTCCGCAGACAAAAGCTTTACACTTGCATTGCAAACTTTTGAACTAAAATTATGCTTGGGAAAGCATCATTCTATCAAACAATTGTTTAAGAAAAATTTAGAATTAAGTAACTTTAATGGAGTGCTGTACACAATCTAGAAAATCTTCCTGGGATTATAGTATTCTACTAGGGATGTGCGTATTTGAACAATTTTCCATTCACTAGGCTTTTTTAAGCTTTATAGAGGTAGAGGTTAACTCATAAAATAGATATCATTATAAAAGTTCATTTTGAGTTGAATCCACCTGTCTTCTGTTTGGTGGAATGGTTTGGTTTTGTTTGTTTTTGGTACTGGGGATCAAACTTGTGCTTGCAAGGCAGGCAGCGGAACCACTGAGCTAAATCCCCAGCCCTGGTGGGATGGTTTTGAGTGTTTTTGCTCTTTAGACGTCAAACAGGTGTAGGTGGTTTTGTAAATTTATTTCAGAATTCTTTTGACTGGTTGTATTTGTCATTGTTCCTCTGAATTAGTCTTTATATCTTATTGGCTTCTTCATTGTTTGAGTTCAATAAAATGAATGACATTTGTTCACTTTATATTTGCATGTGTCATATTTTTATTTTGCATATGTATATTATGCCCTATATGTTATAATTTATCATAATAAAGACATATATGTAGAATGTGTATCTGTAGTTTGGTGATTTTTTTGCAAGAAAAGCAGAGTAATACCAAATGTCTTAGTTTGAAACAAACTGTTTTTAGCTGAATGATGCTTTTTTTTCCTAGTGCACCTGTAATATCATGAAGACTAATTTTGCTCTGATCTAGTGTGCTGATACAGATCAAGAATTGCAGAACTCAGACCTATGATCAAGGTCCCCCCTCTGGCTGTTACACTCTGTTGTTAATATAGTGAAATCGATCAGTCTTCTATTTAATGATAACACTTTGTGCATCTTAAAAATCCCTTCCTACCACAAGGACAGGAAAATATTAACCCATATTTTCTTTTTTATTAAATAATTGAATTTATTGGTATATTTTAGGGATACAGTACAGTTACATTCATTGTTGGGATCCTGTACCTTCACATAACAGGTCTTGGTTCTCATTTTTCCCCTTGTCCCTGCCCTCCCTTCACCCCCTCCTCCCCTCCCCATTTACAAACACTTCATTTCCACCTTTTCATTTTCTCACATTTTTTTCTTTTCCCTTATAACCCCTCCCCTTCCCATCCCACCTTCCCTACACCTTTGCCCCTTGCTTCCCATTTTACAATGTCAGTAATCTTATTAGGATCTTATGTACTATTACAGTTTATTCACACCAGAGAAACTATTTGGTATTTACACATGTGTGACTTATGTATTTCACTTAGGAGTATATCCTCAATATGTATCCATTTTCCTATGAATGACTCTAATTTCTCATTCTTTATGACTGAGTAATGTTTCATTTTATAGAAAAACCACATCTTCTTTATCCAGTCTCCAACTGATGGGCAAATGGGTTGTTTCCAAGTTTTAGCTATTACAAACTGTGTCGCTATAAACATGGGTGTGCATATATCACTGTGGTATGATTCTTTTAGTTCTTTTGGAAAAATTCCCAGCAGAGGGATGGCTGGGTCAAATGGAACCTCCAGTCCAAGCTCTTTGAGGTATGTCCATATTGATTTCCATAGTGGTTGCACCAGTCTGCACTCCCACCAGCAATGGAGAAGGGTTCCTTTCTCCCCACAACCCCACCAACATTTGTTATTGTTTGATTTCTTGATAGCAGCCATTCTTTGTGGGGTGAGGTGGAATCTCAGTGTTGTGTTCATCTGCATCTCTTGAATGACCAGTGATGTGGAACATTTTTTCATATATTTACTTGCTGCTTTTACTTCTTTGTATAAGAAATGTCTGTTCATTTCAGATGCCCATTTTTGTATTGGGTCTTTTGATTTGGGGGGGCTGATTTTTTTGAGTTCTTTATATATTCTCGATAATAGTCCTTTGTCTGAGGAGCAGCTGGTAAAATTTTTTTCCCAACAACATTGTAGGTTGTCTCTTAGTTCTGTCGATGCTTTCTTTTGTAGTGCAGAAGCTTTTTAATAAGATGGGATCTCAGTTGTTGGTTCTTTCTGCTAGTTCCTGTGCTACTGAGGATTTAGAACATGAAAGGCTTTAATGGCCAAGCCTGAAAGTGGCACTTATCATTTCTCTCCTCATTCCGTTGATCAATTTTGCATTGTCAAGAAATCACAAGCTTTGGCTAAAAATTGTTTGGCTTTCTGAGATTCAGAAGAACTGCTGGTCCTTCTTTTTTGGACACAGGTGAGCCTCAAAGGCTGCACCCCCTTGGTGGGGGTTTTGCTCACCAACCAAGAATACAAGACAAGGTAGAACTTCCTAAAGTCAGGATGGAGGCATCATCATGGAGAAGAAGAAATATATCAACCTGTGCTTCTTCTTAAATAAAATTTGTTCCACTTTCACAGTGGAGACCTTTACTAAGTTTGTCTATTTGGCTTTTAGTGTCCAGATTTACGAATCAGTGACTGCTGTGTATCTTTGATTCCTACCTGTTTTGAATCAGAGTCCTTGCTCTGGTCTTGTCTCAGCTTCAACATCCTAAAATGGGGTGGGGAAAGAAGTACAGAGTTTCCAGCAGATTTAGTGTTTTTATTTTAATATTTAAATCTTTGATCCATTTTGATTTTAGTTTGGTACATGGCAAGAGACAAAGGTCTAGTTTTAGTCCTCAGGATGTGGAAAACCAGTTTTTCCAGCACCATTTATTAAAGAGGCAATCTTTCATCAAGTGAAGGTGTTTGGCCCTTTTGTCAAAGCTGAGGTGGCTGAGCATTTGGAGCTATTTCTGCATCTTCTAATCTGTTCCATTGATCCGTGGATCTGTGTTTTTTGCCAATACTATGCTGTTTTTGTCACAGTAGCTCTGCAGTATAATTTCATGTCAGGGATTGTGGTGCCCCTTTGTTGCTCAGAATTGTTTTTGCTATTCTAGATCTCTTCTGTTTCCAAATGAATTTTAGGATTGTTTTCTCTAATTCTCTGAGGTATGCTATTAGGGTTCTTTAAATCAGGATTGCATTAAATCTGTATAACAATTTAGGAAGTAGGGTCATTTTAGCTATACTGGTTCTTCCTGTCCAAGAACAAGGGATATCTTTAGGTTTTCTATCCTTTCTTATCTCCTTTTAAAGAGTACTATAGTTTTCAATGTAAAGGTCTTTTACTTCCTTTGTTAGATTGATTCCTAAGTATTTCATTGTTTTCAATGATATGGGAAAGGTGTGGTTTTCCTAATTTCTTAGATCTGCTGGAAGATAGAATAGGTAGAACTCTTGAAGATACTGGTGTAGGCAAAGACTTTATGAACAAAACCCCAATCACATGGGAAATATCACAAAGAATCAACAACTTGGATCTCATCTCATTTAAAAGCTTTTGCACAATAAAAGAAATCACCAACAGAGCAAAAAGACAATCCATGGATTGGAGGAAAAAATTTGCCAGCTAATCATCAGACCAAGGACTAATATCTAGAATATATAAAGAACTAAAAAAACCCATATCCCCCAAATTTAAAGACCCAATCCAAAAATGGGCATCTGAAATGAACAGACACTTCTCAGATGAAGAAGTACAAATGGCAGATAAATATATGAAAAAATGTTCACCATCACTGGCCATTTGTGAGATACAAATTAAAGCAACACTGATTCCACCTCTCTCCAGAAAGAATTGCTATTTTCAAGAAATCAACCAATAACAAATGCTAGTGGGGCTAAGGGGAAGAAAGAACCATTCTCCACTGTTGGTGGGAATGTATAATCACTGTGGAAATTAGTGTAGCTATTCCTCAAAAAGCTAAAACTAGAGGTTCCATTTGAGCCAGCTCTTCTTCTTCTTTATATCTTCCTGAAAGAATTAAAAGCATTATACACACCCATGTATATAATGGCACAGTTTGTAATAGCTAAATCTTGGAAACAGCCTAAATATCCATCAACCGTTGAATGGATAAAAAAGATGTAGGATTGTTTTATATAATGCCATACTATTCAGTTATAAAGAATAAATCTGAGACATTTCTGCTAAGTGAATGCTCATTAGATCACACTCAAGTGAAATAAGACACACATATTTAAATACCGCATTGTTTCTCTGGTATAAGAAACTGAAAGTATAAATAAGGACCAAAATGTATAATAGATATTGGGAAAATTAGAAGAAAATGTTCAAATGGGAAGGGGAACAAGCGGGGAGGGGGAAAGGAAGGAAGGGAAAATAAAATAGAAGGAAAAATGGAGACAAAGCTTTTGTAAACAAGGAGCAGAAGAGGGATTGAAGGGAGGAGAGGGGAATGGGAAAAAAGAAGAATCAGGATATATCATGTACAGGCACAAATTCTCTATGATAAGTGTGATAAATATGTATATCTAAAATATACTAATAAAATTAATTAATTAAATGGAAAGGAATTAAAAGGAAGGAAAGACAGAACTTGTCTTTGGTTTATAGATCACTAGAACAGGTAATTGTGAGGAAGTCAACTAAAAAATGAATGTGTGTTCTGCTTACCTGGAGATCCTGGTTTTCTGGAGTTTGAAGCTGGGAGTAGTGACTTGAGGAGACTCTAACTTGTCCCTCTGAGAAGAATAATGCTCTATACATGGAAGGAATGATGAAATGCAAATATGGAGGACTATGCAAAGAATGGCTAGGTAATCTTAATTTTATTTTTGTCTTCCTGAGCTCACAGACTACATACTCTAGCCTCCCTTCCAGATAACTACAGACTTAGTAACCAGTTTTTCTAATGGAATATGGGCAAAAATAAATTAAGCCACTTTCAGGGTCTGCTCCTAAAATCCCTGGTAAGTCACTTGCTCTGCCCCTTTTCTAATTGTGCAACTGAAAGCAAAGTTCTTAAGACGGCACAGCCACAAAACAAAAAGAACCAAGATATCTATGTCATTATTTGCACTCACCATCCTAAGTTTTCCAGTGAGTCAGCTGACCAGCAGTGGAGTATGATGTGAGCGAGATGCCAATTGTTAAGCAGTCAAACCAATGAGGTCTTAGGCATTATTTATTGTAGTAGGAAATATTAATTATTCTAAGTCATGCACTTTAAATGACTCATGCAGAAAAGCCTTAGCACCCCAGTAAAGGGCTGGGAAATTTTCCTTCATCATTAGATCCCACTGTAGATTCCTGGTATTCCATTTTCATTTCTAAGTATTTTTTTTATTTGTTTGTCTTTTGTGGTTTTTTGGTACTGGGGATTGAACTCAGGACCTTGCACTTGCCAGGCAGGTGTGGCACCACTGAGCTACATCCGTGGCTCTTTAAGCATATATTAATGAATGTATTAGATTACCTTAATTTATAATTTCCTGATGCAGTTATCTTTTGGGTGGGAGGACGGTGAATTTGCCTGGGAGGTCATGGAATTGTTGAAGTCAGCCCATGGCCTCTCTTGTGAGAAACATTTCTTTTTCATATGCTTTTTTTCTTCATCAAAATTTTTAGTGCTTTATGCAGCATCCATATCTTTCCCGGCAAGTTTTCGGTTTCTACTTCCAGAAACAGGAAGGAAAATGACACTTACTAAAAGTTATCAATGATCAATCATGATAATCAATGTAATAATACATTTGAAGAGGCATTTGAAACTTGACAACTGTGTGTAACAAATATGATTGTAT